AACTAAAGTAGGTTAAAGGGGCCGCATACCTTGGCGCGCTCGCAGCAGTCCGCTGCATCTGCAAAAACGGTGTTGGCAGACTTAGCCGCTGCCATTTGTTGTATCGACCCCTAGCCAAGCATTAATCTGCGTTCAAATACTCCAATCTCTCTTCACTTTTGCTCAAACAGGCAAGTGCGCGCAATGTAGCCATAGCTGCAGCATTGGCCGTCTTGGTAGCTGTGACGCTACCTCTAAGTTATCCCTCCGGAAGCGCTGAGCTCCAGAATCAATGCACATGGAATAAAACGAGAATAAGCGCTCTCCCAAAAGGATAACCTTCTTTCCCTGCCCGTGCTTTCAGGGCTTTTGAAATGAAAGAAGAGGGGTAGCCGGCGGCAGCCTTTTTGAGCACTTCAAGCATAAGCAGCTGGATGCACGTGGCATCTAGCGAACACCCGCACGGCATTTCGCCTTCTTGCGTCGAGCTGAACCTACTAGGCAATTAATACTGTAAACAATATGGGAATTCAGTGATCCAATTCTTAATTGAGTCTTATTTAATATAAGTAGTGCACAAGAAAGCGTTGAAGTGTCAGCTAAGCCCGCTACCCTTGCAGCACTTGCTCGTGCTTCTCCTGCCTCGTGGTGTCGAATGATGCCCTTTTCGTTCTCAGCTTCTCTTCCATCTTCCCAGCCAATCCGAGCGTTGCTTCGACCATTATGTTGCCACTCCGCGCCAATGTTACAGCTTGTTTAGCCGCCGCTGTTCTTCCGGGCTGCAAGTACACTCCCGCTGTTGACGCGGTAGATAGTGTAAAACCTCTTTCCCAGGAAATCTCTCCAGTGCTGCGGATATGCGCCCACATCCATCATGCCTCGCCTCGCCGCCTTCACCTGAGCCAACCGGCTTCCTCAATTCTACACTATCACTCTGCCCCACTAGGTCATTTTTCTTTTAAAAAGTTCTCAATTAAAGACATGAGGGCAGTCGCTACACCCTTCTTGCAGGGTAAAATTTACCCTTTAAGAAAGTTTGTGAGAAGCTAACTGGTTCTTATGTTAATAGTTTATAGTTTTAATTGCTATCATATATAATCCCATACGCTGTGTTCACCGATCAGACGGTGTATTGAACTTGGTGACTTACCGACAAGCTTTAGTGTAGTCGCTAAGATCTGCGCTCTTTCCTCTTTTACAAGGCTCTTTGTCTCCTCTGCGGTGAGCATCATCGCTCGTCTCGTCTGCCATCTGTGCACTTGATGCTGCTTTTCCTCTTGGTATGCCTGGTCCTTCCGATGCATCTGCTGCTAAGAGCGACGCTTCTGCCATTTCACATGCAGCTTCGTATAGGCCCTCCCGATTCAGCAAGCGTCACTTACCCCTCAGCTCCGGATCAGATTGCTGCCTTTGATCGTTATCCTAGTCAGAAGCCTCGTGTTAGTCTTTTCTTCATGGCATCTTCCTGTTTCTGGCATCGTGCAGGCGATGCAGCCATGTCCACTACCTCACATAATTCTGATGCAGCTGGTTTAGAGCGGCAGCGGCTTTTGATCTGGCAATTAGCGAGCTGATGAACGGGCCAGACGCCGCTATACCCTCAGTCAGCAGCGCGGTGGCTGCCGCTGCTTCCAGCGGCAAGACTAAGGCAGCCACTATCAAGAACAGTTTTATCAGCGCTTCCTTTCCTCGTATGGGCGGCAGCTCGCTCATTTCAATCGCTTCCTGAAGGTTCTTTGTCTTCGCCTCTAGCGGCCGCCGTTGTTCCAGCCTCAGGTATATCTCCTTACATGGAAGCGTGTATTCTTCCCCGATGGAAGCATTCAAGTTATAAAATCCGGAGATAAAGAGGAACCTGGCGGATGCCACGATGAATTAATACAAGTCAATTTGTGGTAGAACTGCCACATCGCCCTGCCACCGAGCAAGCACTTCAGTGGATTCCGTATTTAAATTTGGATCAAATGCAACAGAAGGGTCGGGATGCGTATAGGTGCACATGAAGAGAAGCAGGATTAGTGCAATCACCAGAGACTTCGACTCTGGGTGCTGGAAAATCTCGCGAGAGCCATGCTCTCGAAGAGGCAACAGACGCATCCTAAGCTTTCTTCGTGATGATTTAAAAATCAAGAATGCGCCCACTTTGGTCGCAGCGCTGCCTTTTGTGCCCTTTACGCGAAAATCCTGGCACGTCCTCACGTGCTGACGGTCTCTTGCCCATCATCAGCATCGATTCACGGACGTTCGCCGGCTTCTGCACTTCAGTTTTTCCTGAATCACCCAGAAGGTCTTCTTCCGTGTCTCCAGGCAACGAGCCAGTCGAACTGGAAGATATCACAAAGTCGCCTGGGCCTTTCATCGTTGACAGTTCAAGGCGGTCGTGCTTTTGTGCTTTCTCCAGGCTTGCACCGGCGTGTGCCCCCACGCGATGATGCAGTCTTCCATTGTTGCACTCCCTGCCTCTCCGAAGGTAGGAGATAGGGGTCTCTTCGTGGGTGTGAGACGGCTGTAGCTGTTCCTCCTTGTGTACAGCGTCATCCAGCACATTTAACATGAGCGGTTGGTCGGCCCTGGAAGCGTCACTTGTGGAAGCTGCTAGTGCCACCTTAGGAAAACATTTGGGAACCAGCAACAATGCAGCCGTTGCTAAGAGGAGAACCGCATAATGGATCCCCGTAAACCGGGAGGCCCCAACGGCTCTGCCTATTGGTTAAACCGAGTAGAGGGATTGGCGACTGGCAGTGTAAAGCTCTACAACTTAGCTCAAGAACTAGAGTTGCAACACGTTCAGCAGCTCAGAAATACGGCAAGTAGCGAGTTTCGGTGCGGCTATAGGGCCATGTGGGTGGTATGTGGACGCCTGAGCAAATTGCTCAAGTAGGACATGGACAAGTAAATGACGATTCTCTACCCGGGCGGAGGCCTTTTTATTATCTTGGTACTGCGCTAGCGCTCAGAGTTCTCGTTTCATGACCCTTGTACTTAATGCATACCGCAGCAGCATGCAGTCCCTTCTGCCCGTGGGGAGCCCAGTGGATAAGGGCAATCTGATACACTGCAGCGAATTTACCGCCTATCTACTGCAAAATCCTCTCCCTAGGCCAGGAAACATTGAATAAGAGGCAAAAGTTATTGTTTTCGGATGAAGTCGGGCGCAGACAAATGCCTTTGCCTTTACGACGAAGGAGTTTGAGACTGTGCGCTCGGTTACCGGCGATTCAGGTTGCTGCATCGATAGACCTGCCACCTTTATTGGCTTTCTGTAGTACTTGTCCTCAGCAAAAATACAATTTATAGCAGTATACGTACATTTTAACACCAAAAATAGATAGGATACCTGAGGTAGAACAATGATTTCAGGGTCAGGACAGCCGACTTGTCAGAGGGGCCCCAAGCGGCCGTTCATTGCAAGTAGGTGAAAATTGAAGAAAAGTAAAGATTCTTCATGCTTCAAAAGTTGGAAAAGCGCATAGAGTGTATCTGAAATGGTTGAAAGGCAAAGCGAAGAAGCTTTGCCGTCCTTCTTGCTCCTCCTACTGCAGCCTACTCTAAGTCGGCCAGGATACTTGTAGCAGTACGCCAAACATCTCACGCCTCTCGTGCCGCTATTCTGTCTTGATGCATCTTAAGTTAAATGTTGTCAGAGCGGATATCGTCTACCCATCACCTCTCACGGTGGTTGTTACCGTGAGAGGTGATGTGTAGAAGTCTGCGGAGGATGCGGATACCTCCAGATTCACGTACTGCCCTCGGGCACACAGTCTCTGGAGAACTTCCCTCTGCAAAACCTCTATAAAAGACACCGTCAGCGCGACACTCAATAAATGCTCTCAATCGTCATGCGATAAGAGCCCTCAACTGCGTCCCCTCCGTTAGCTCACCACCGACCCGTGTTTCGGAATAGGAGACTGAGACAGACGGCTCAAGTCCAAGGACATTGCTGCATCCGGTTAGGTATAACTAAGAAGGCCGCACATTTTAAAGCAGCATATAGCGCACAGGCAAACAGTATTCCCTGTTTAGCGTCAAGGTAAGTTGACTCGGCAACAAATAGCATGCATCTACGGGACGAAGCGATACTTTTGCACTCTGTGCTACACTGGTTGTACTGATGTAGGAATTGCAAAAGCATTGACTCCTATTAGGGTTGGTTTTCTGTAAACTTAAAAAATTTGCGGTGTAGCTTTAGCTCAACACGAGAGTAATTTAGGCTATGTGCCTGTGCACTGCTGGCCGGTATGCGCGGCCACATGTGAATGATTGGAGTGCTCAGAGAGCACATCGACTCTTATAAAACATACGACTCTTTTCTTATTTTCTACCTCATGCGAAATTCCCGAGAAATAAGGACAATAAGGGGAGGAGGGACGGAGCTCCTTCGGAAGGACACTTTGCAACTTTCAATTACTTTTTGTCTTGGGATTGCCGATAAGAGTGGGTCTTCGTAGGGATACCCTTAGCTACAGTAGACTGAGCAACATTTCAACGCTCTCTGGTGCACAAGTCATATTCAGCGACGAGTTAGTCACGAACAGACTACGTGGTGTGCTTGCAAGCATATTTCATTTATTGTAGAGTCGAGAAAGCTTGATCCAAGAAAACGTCATGCTGTGTGTATGCACGCTAAAGGCTATGTTCAAGCAGGTGTAAGTGCTCGGAGTGCTTACAGAGTGCAGCTACGCGCACTAAAGCCGCAACGTCTTCCTTAAAATGCGGCATTTTGCAAGGCCCTTAGCGGCCTGAAAGACTTTGGACTGATCTCACTGTAGACTTGATTGGTGGCACCCTGGAGGCCAGGGGTCAAGAAAGCGTCTACGTCGTTCTCGGCAGACTCAAGAAAATATGCATATTTAATCCCTTGCTTCAGCTCTACCCCGGCTCAGGAAGTCGCTCAATCATGCTATAGTCGTAAGCGAAAGATACACATACGGATTTCTCCACGAATATAAATACAATGGGATCCAAAACATTTTACTGCGTTTGGGCAGGTCTTTCTGACCCGCCTATAGATTGGCCATAGTATGGCGACTGCAAACCACTCCCAGGCAGATTGCCAGACAGATTGCACAACCGCAGTACTTGCGAGTCGAGGAGCACGAACAGCCAGATTCGTGTTTGGTTTTTTCTTTGGCAGAATGGGCCTGTAGTTACACACACTCATGTACTTGTTTCTGTTTCGCAGCGCTGGTCTACACTTAGGAATTCCTGGTCGATTGGGCCTGGAATTGATATTCTCAGTTCATCAGCCACCTTTGGCGGTGAAATATCCGGTGAACAGCTGGAAGCGCACGGGAATGTGCGCGCACAACTCAATAAGGACGAGTATGGAGCTATCATCAGTGGTGGTCGGATGATGTGTCAAGCATGGTGAGTGAGTGCTAATGGATCGGCATTTCTATAAGATGCATCAAGTGTTGAAACCGGACTAATAAGTTTGTAGCTAGGTGGCTAGAACATTTCACAGTCCTCCTACGAACCAGCTTTGTTCCTTGCTGCTGCAATTTCCTCGAAAGTCGGAGGTACCACACACCGAAGACAATTGACTTCTAAAGCACCTTCGAGGCTCTTCGACAATATTTCCTAAAAAAAGGTGACATGTGTAAAGACGGAAGAGCAACATAAAGCAGTCAAAGTGCACGCCTATAGGACAACTGCGGTGAAGGACACAATAGACAGAGCGTCTAGTGAAGTGGGGTGGGGAACGCCATCCGCTGTGGTTAATGGAAGACGAGTTGCGGCCTTGTTGCCGGCGAGACAACTTGCGGCTTTTTTAGGCAAGACGTTAGTCGCCATGGACAGCGTTGGTTGCTTGTCAGGGTATCTGTCGTCCCTCAGTGCACGCTTTGCCTGACTTGAGTACATTCATCTGTCGGTATTGTTTAAAAAATATCTCGGTTAGTACCGCTACGGGGTATTCTACAACCACGTGTATGCGCAGGCTCTTCAGACATGCTGTCCATACATTGTTCCTTCGATGTCTTCCGTGCCTTAGAACTCAGCAATATCCCATGCAAGAGTTGTATTTGCATGCAGAGATCGCTCTCATAAACATGAAGGCACTGTTGAGTAAATGTGTATTTCATTCCCTAACCCATTTACTAGTTTTCTCTTTTCGCGTAGCATGGAGCAAGCACATTCAAGCACTCACTTCGGCAATGACGAGGTTTTAAGGCCCTGCCGTAGTGTTGGCTTGGTCCCTCGTTTGTTACCGGTGAGACTGCGTTTCATTCTTTTGGACAATCTCACTTCAACGGTTGATGCCTACCGCTGCCTATATTATTTGCACTGCTATCACTTGTTTCCCTTCCTGATGAATGGCAATACGGCGGAAGCTCTTACGCTGTGCTGCATGCAGCCTAACTCGACGAACAGGTAAGGAGTTCGAGGTCGAATGATTTGACGTTGGGGGGAGGGGGGCGTGGACGGGGGAAGGCATGGCTGGCCTAGCTACACTCGAACACTGCCTGCTACACTAGTCATAGTTATTCAAGAACCAGTGAGGAATTGACTAACTGATGTACATATCTATAGCTCTGAATTGCATAGCACTGTTAGCTCGATACTAGTAGACGAAACTCTGTGCGATGCTCCGTGTAAATGCACAGGGTACTCGTAGGGTGCTGCTGCTACGCGCAGCTTAGCTATAGCTATCCGCTTAAGGGACGCTACCAGTGGAAAGTGGGCTTTTCAAAGCACTCCCAGTCAAATTTGTATTTCATCTGGAGTTAAGTATCTCCCGGGGAGATCTTCGCCGGAGCGTAGCTTGCCCCTCTCCTAGAAATTACATCTCCAGGTTCCAGCTTAAGTCAAAAAGGGCTGGACACAGGATGCGTAAGTAATGTTGCTGCACTTTCTGCGGCTTCGAAGCATTCATTCGCACACCCGTGCCCTCACAGTCTCCCAGTGTATACACACGCGAACTCCTTCGTATTGCAATTGCACATAGTTTGCATGCTCTACCTAGTGCACATCAGATCTAAATATAAAAGTTGACTGCTAAGCTTATCAGCAAATATAACCAGTGCGGGAGCAAAGTGCCTAAGTGGAGCTTTTGGCCGACCTTAAAGCTAGCAACTCAGAAGGCGACGCTATGAGCGTGCATGTAAGGTGTTCGGGTGGGGGTTCTAGAGTGCGAGACTTTGCAGAGTACGGGTATACATACACACATTGACACAGCCAAACAAACGATTCAATGTGGATCTGGTCTTCCCCAAGGAATACCTCTGTGATGCGCTTCACGACAGAACGCGCCCGTACATGCACTTGCATCCCACACCAAAGGCTAAGGCACTCAGTACAGGGCGAGAAGAAAACAATTAAGGATATGAAAGTGTAAGATCGACGTGTGCGTTTATTTCGGGTGTGTCTAGACAGCCGACAGTGTATCGGGGCTGTGGCGCAAACAGCCCCGATACACCGTCGGCTGTCGAGATACACTCGAAAGAAAACGCACACACGCCAACCGTATACTTTTGCATCTTCCGATCGAAGGATCAGTGGATTTTGGGGAGATTTCATCATCAGTGTTTCTTTGCAAACCAGGGGGCAGCACGCAGGGGGCCAAGGGCCCCCCCATCGACGAAAGACAAGGCCAAACCAATGACTGGGCAAGGGCAGCAGAGCAGGCACCAACAAAGCCAATTTGCGCAGAAGCCGTTGCCACAGCTGATGCGTTTTCTGCTGCTCTTGATTTTATTATGCAGGGAGCCTCAACCTGCCGTTGCAGCCACCGCTGTCTTGCGAAGGTCGTCGTCTCCCGTTCCCCCTTTGCGAGCGGCTCCCCTCTTTGCCTCAGCCCCCCCTCCTCCCGCCAGTGTTACGGCGTCTGCTTCGGGGGCAGCAACGGCAGCCGCTCTTGCAAATGCTACTTTTGCCAGAGCTGAGCAGGCGGCCCCTCAAGCGGCTACCACATCTGCGGCTCACGCCACCCCTCCTGCTCGTCTGCTGGGCAGCGACTTCTCCGTCGGCAGCAGAACGCCTAGTTTCCTTTTCTGCGGTGCGAAGGGTCTCCTATCACGCCGCCCTCATGAGAAAGGCCCCCCCTTTACCCTCGTCGCTGCCTCACGACGGAAGAGCTCTGAGGCTCACCAGCAGGCGCAGCAGAAGCAGCAGGACGACAGATACAGAATGCTGCTGCTAAGTGAAGGCACAGCGCAACAGCGAGAGGAGCTGTGGAGGGAGCTGCAGCAGCTGCGGCGGCAGAAACTCAGCACGACAGGCCTTGTCGGCATGGAAAGTGGCTCCCTAACTGCGGCAGCAGCAGTGGAAGGCGAGGCAGCAACCACTGCAGCAGGAAGCATGCAGCGCATCGCTGGATACGACATAGAGGATGCAGATTTCGCCGCTGCACTGCCTCCAGGGCTGCCGCCGCTCCCGCCGGAGGCCATCCTGCAACAGCAGCAGCAACAGGAGCAGCAGGAGCAGCAAATGCAGCAGCAGCGGCAGCTCGAACAACAGAAGGTGATCGAAGAGCTACGCAAAAGGCAGATGCAGCATGTCGTCCCCAGAGGAATGCTCCCGAAGCTCACCATTGAGCAACTCAGTGAGTGCCGATGCTGCTCAGTCTGCATGGGCTCCCGCTGCCTCCTGTGCCACACGTAGCTGGCGTCGAGCTAGCTCGACCAAGCAGTTCAACTTTCGCTTCGCCTTTGAAACGAGAGGGCTAGAAGCAGAAAGCGCTGCCAGTCCCTCCTAATTGAGGCCTTCCTCTCCGGCGCGTGTGCCAGTCTCCGCGCGCACAGGGAACCCCTGTTTTGTGCTAGCCGTCTCCGAGGCAGCGTCCTTCTCTAGTTGGCTAGATGCGCTCAGACTAGCAACACGGCCTCTCTAGCTGCGCACCTCTCTCTCCACCCTGCTCCGCGCGCGTGGCTAGCTAGGTAGCGGCCAGACTGACCCCCTCCCTCCCCCCTGCGGGGACCCGCTAGCCAGTTGGGTAGAGGATGGCGAGCGCTACTTGGGTGTTTCACTCTGTGTTCGTGTTTGTGCTGCTGCTCCTTAGTGCTCGCGGCAGAGAAGAGGGTGCTTCCCCACCCGCATCTACGCTTGATGATTGCGGGAAGTGCTTTCGTTGTTACGCGGGAGGCCTTAGGTCCCCTCTGTCTCCCCACTGAGAAGTTCATAGTTCCTGCTCTTGGAGCCAGCCCTTTGGCGTCTCGAGGAGCAGCGCAAGAGACGGCAGGAGACGTGCTAGAGGCTGCGACGGAGGCTCCCTTTGTCGGAGTGCCGATAGCCGATTGGGAAACGTTCCCTTGGCCACATTATCTTGAGGGGCTGCATCTCGGGGAAGAAGTCAGACATTCCTAAATGCGCGGCGCTGACAGCGTTTTGCCCGTGCTGCTGTTGCTTCCCTGTTGCTTCTTCTAGCGCTAGCGGCTCACCTTTGGGTGTCTTGGAAGGCGGCTCCTGAGCAAGCAGCTGCTTCTGCTGGGGAGATGTCGTGTTCGTCCTCCCCCTCCCTTTGCCGCTGTTTCGTGACCCCTTCCTAAATCAGCTTCCCTTCTAGCCCAACAACATTCAAGTGTGGAGTGTATGTCCAGATGGAAGCGCTGCGTCATGAGCGAGACCTCGTGGAGAAGGAGCTGCCAGCCCTCGCCAAGCGGCTCAAGGAGCTAGGTAAAGCTTTTTGAAAATTTGCATTCACGCAAAACATGATTTTCTTGCCCTTTGTAGCACCCCCTTCTTCTCCCTGCTCTGTTTCTGCCTCCCTTTGCGGCTCCCTTTCCGCAGCGTGCGTTGCCTTACTGGCTTTGCCTGCTGCTGTCTTGCCCTTCTGCGTCTCTCGCCTGCCGCTCTCTCTGATCTCTGCGCATGCAATTTTAGAGGCCTCTTCTTTGTGGTCACACGTTTTGAAGCGCCTGTCACTCGCGTGTGTCTTTCTTCGGGGGTGTCCTCCTTTTGGCAGATTTTGATTGGCAGCTAGGAGCCAGCACAGTGTCTCGAATCGAGAGGGAGCTAACAGAATTCCGTCTCCTTCTGAAGGCCCTCCCAGTGTACTTGGTGCGTCTTCCGATCTCCCCGCGGGTGCCTCCTCTTGGCAGGCTTTTGAGGTTTTTTTCCTTGTGCTACGTCGAGAGACGAGGACAAACCTCTAAGTTCCTCTGCTGGTTGCACCCGCCTTTTCCTTTTGCCCCCCTTCTCACCCCCTACCTATCTACCCCGCATCAAAAAATTAGCGAAGCTGAAATATTAGCAGTGCTTTGCTTGCTCCGCGATACCTTCGAGGGTGCAAAAAAAATCCAAAAATCGGCATGGCGGGAGGCTTGCATACAGGCTTCACATGCGGTGGCGCAGGCTGCAACTGCTTCCACCTCAACCTGTGCGCATGCAGGCATCCAAGCCCTCCCCAAAAGCTGCTTTCAGAGGGCCTCCCGTGTACTTTGTCGTCCCTAGTGGTGTCTCCCAAGAAGGCACCACCACCACCACGCAGGGGAATGAGCCTCAGTATCCTCCCGAGACAGCGGCCTTCCGCCTAGGAGCTGCATGCAGCGCGTTGCGGCAAAGAGGGAGATTCCTCTACTTGCCAGGGGCCTTAGAGAGACTCGAAACAGAGGGTCAGATGCCGCTGTATGCCATTGTGGCGCTGCAGCAGTCCAGAGCAGGCTTCGACGGCGTGCAGCAAATGCAGCAGCAAATGCAGCAGCAAGTGCAGCAGCGAGCCGGTCTGGGGGATGAGGGAATGCAAGAAATGGAATCTGTAAAGGAGACGAAGCAAAGGCAGCGACTGCCGCCAGACATGCTGGAGCTGCAGCGCAGGCTGCACAACAAGCAGCAAGAGAAAGAGGAGGAGCAGCAGCAGCCTCCTGGACACGTCGTGCAGCAGGGTGCGACTGCTGCTGAGGCGGAGATGGAAGCGGCAGCTGCTGCCATTGAGGAAGGCGCTGCGCTGGAGGCCTCACGGCAGGTTCCTAGCCTTGTTCCCTTTGGTGAAGGCGTTCGTACACCCCGAACTGCAGCGACAGTGACTGGAGGAAGTGCTGACTCGGAGAGAGACGCCCTCATTTCGGATTTCGACTTTGGAGCGGCTGAAGAGACATCCGACTGTTTTGTAGGCCCTTCGCTGCCTGCAGTGGTGCTGCTGTCTGCTTCTCCTGCTGCTGCTGTTGCCTTTGTGGCTGCGACTTTCCTCGCCTTCGTTCTACACCCTGGGGGTTGGAAACTCTAGAAATTGGCAAGCGCAGTTGTTGCCTATTCTCAGCTCCCCACGCCGCCACACCCAGTGAAGCGCCGCATCGGCCTCAGACAGCGGCTGCAGCAGCAGCAGAAGGAGCACCCTCTTCAGTATCCGTTTCCAATGCACTCGAGGCGACAAACAGAAGGCGGATATCAGTATGTCTTCGACCTCTGGTCGTGGGACGATGTGATAGAAGCCTTGCAGTATTTCAACGTGAGTCGTGAACCTCCCTGGTGTTGTAAAGTCGCCAGCGTCAAAGAGATCCGAGAAGCGGCACTGTCTTGTGCGCTGGACGCCTTCTGCTGCCGCCTCTGCCTGCTTACCCACCATTCACAGTCTGCCGCACAGCAGTGGCGAGGCGTATATATGGGTGCCTGCACTTCCTCGGGCTGTCTGTACACCGCAGGACTTGTACGATCCAGTGGCGAAGGCGCTAAACAGGGCCGTCACTTTCAACGAGCTGCCGGCAGACTGGAAAATTCCCGGTAGGAGTTCGGCTGCCTCTTAAGGCCAGCTGCCTCCTGTCATTCGGATTTAGCCCCCAAAATTTCTCCTCCTGTGGTTCAGAACGCCATGTAGCGTGGTAGTCTCTACTCGCTGTGCCTTGCTCTCTTCACCCCCGCATCTCTCTGCTGCCGCTGCATTCTCCGCGGTCGTGCAGAGCCGGTTGCTGTTGTGTGCCTCCTTTACTTCCTTATCCCAGATCTTCTCTTCCCCACCATACATATATGTATATATCTAGCTTTACAGTTCTTCCTTTCTAATGTTAGCTTGCCTGTGTAGCGTCCCTGCGTTGCTGAGCCTCTCTGCATTCTCTGCTTTGCTGCTGCTGCGCTGCCCCCTGAATGAGCTCGGCATTCTGCATGAAGGGCTTGCCTAAAGCGCCTAGTGTCTTCTATGGCGCATGTCTCAATGTGCATGCTCTCTGTCGCTCTCCGCATGTGTCTGCCTCTTCTTGGTTGTGTGCTGGTTGAAGGAGAGAATGTCACCTCTTTGCAAAGCCCGTGGCGGACAGAGCAGCAGCAGCAAGAACAGGCAGAAGAAGCAAACCTGTGGCCTGCCCAGTGGTGGGGAATGCCCCTTGGTCTGTACGTACACCAGATCAGGCAGGGTGATGTAGATGCGCGCTTCCATCCCCGGAGGCGGCCAGTTCTGGACCGCCTGGGGTTCAGGTGGGAAGGAACCGAAAAGTATCTTAACTTCACGTGGATGAAGCTCCTCAAAGGAGTCAAGTGGTATGTTCGCTGCACACTGGTGCGGGCGTGACAGGCTTCTGTGCGCTTTGCCCAGCGTTCCCGAGGGGCCGTAACCCTAGCCTCTTGGTGCAGGAGTAGCACTTTGCATGCAGGCGAATTGCAAGAGGGCGAGCCGTAGATTGAGCTGCATGCGCGCACATGTGTATATGTCTGGGTATGTGAGAACAATAACGTATGTGTGAATGTGCATGAATACATGGAGGCATGCGTGGAGGCATGTGCGCTCGGTACTGCAGGTGGATGTTTTTTAGACAACATCCTATTGTTCAGTTGGGCCGAGATGCCGTAATTCCTCCTTCCTGTTTGGTTGCGGATGTATGCAAGCCGGAGGAAGTTCAGGTAAGACAGAGAGAAGATTTTTGCCGATCTGCCCACTCGGCTGCTGCTATTAAGGCAGCCTGCTACCCAGTTGACTCGACGCCTCACTGTGTGGCGCTTGCTCTCGCCAACTGTACCGATCATTCACTCTTGACATGCGCAGCCCGCCACCTCCCCCGCGGCGTCCCCTGTCTTTACTACCTACTACCTGCGCGCACATGCGTTCTGTCTACGTTTCTAGCATTCGCTAAGCAGCCTCTCGTGGTGTCTCGCCTTTGCTCATACGCAAATGCTCTGGCCTGTACCCCGTTCGACTCACGCCCGGCTGAAGCCCCTTCACAATCGTCTCTCCCTCTCTGTTCGCCCCCCATTAGGAGTTCCTGTCTGCCTCGCTGCTTTCCCACTATACCTCTAGCGCACTCTAGCTAGCCACCACCCCTTTCTCTCCACCCCAAGCCGCCTCGCCTCGCATGCTGCGCCTCTCAGGGCCTTTGCATCGGGGAGATAGTTTACCAGGCACGCCTCCAAGAACCCGTCCTGTATCACCACTACCCTCAGCGGTACGAGCTCTTTAGGCAGTTTGGTCTAGCCATTCTCCCCGCCGAGCGACTCATCCTCTCCTACCCAAAAGTCGAGACAGACAAGGAGGAACTGGCGCCGAGGGGGTTCACGCTTAAGGAACTCCCCGAGGCGATCCGAGAAGAATACTGAACACGGGGGAGGCCCCTTGGATTACACCCAAGAAGGTTCCTCCAGGAGTTCTCTCTAAGCGCGCGGCAGCATGGAAGCCTCGGCAGTGCCTTGGCGAATTGCGCCGGCGCGCTGTGTGTAGGGGGACGTGGGGAGGCTTCTTGTTGGAGGGCATTGGCCTCTCGTGGGTGGTTCTGCACAAGTGGCGGTGTCTGTGCATCCTATGCTTGTGTCAAAAGCATCCGCCAACTCATGGTACTGGCGACCGCCTTGTGCGGAAGTCGAATCAAGACACCTGCTGCAAATTAAGGCTCGCTGCCATCGAGAGCGCTGCCTGCCTGCGTTTCAGGAGGTGGTGGGTCGGGGGGACAGGGGAGGAGAGGGAATGTGGGGCTGTTCCGTGGGAGGCGAGACATGCAAGCTGGAAGTGAGGCACAGAGAGGGCAGACGATACGCATACATTGTGGGGTCAGGCTGCCACTTTGGTGGCTAGGATAGCGTCGCTTTTGCCGTTTTTTGCAGCTGCCTAGAGGAAGCGCACTTGCCCCAGTGTACACGGCGTCGCAAACACCATGGCCTCTCTAACGTACTGTAGCTGCCTAATGCTCTCCAACAAGTTCTCGTCTACGGCGCTGTCTATGTGAAATATACACATGCCTAAAACTTCCTGAGGAACGCCAGAAGCACCCCCCTGAGACACATTCGGCCCTTGAGGGCTTGCTGTCTCTAAAGGCCTATCGAGGAGATCCTCCTGCGATGCTCTGTCCACCCACCGGCGCCCTAAGTGGCAATTCGCAACATTAATCCCGGCAGAACTTATGATCGAGAGGATGGATGACAAGACGCCTGGCCTATCCCTGAGGACACGTTTGTTACACACACACATACAAATAAGTATACAAATAAACACACAAACAAATAAACGCACAAAAACACATACAAATAAACATACAAACACACAAACAAATAAACATACAAGCACACATACGAATAAACATACAAGCACACATACAAGAACGCAGGGACACACACATACAAATAAACATACAAACACACATACAAATAAACATACAAACACACATACAAAAACACACACACATACACACGTTCAAACATACATAATCCCCTAGCTGTGTGCGCCTTACACGTGGAGGGTATAAAACATATAAATCGGCCGATAATGATGTGGCGGAAGGCCAAAGTCTGCCCCCGGCAGGCTGTCTCCTGTGCTGTCAAGGTCTCCCTCTTTTGCTGCACCGGCCATAGATGCCGGCGAGAAAGACGTTTCCAAGGGAGTTGTCGCCTCCGAATGAACGGGAGTCGCAGCGTTGATTTGCGGCATGCAGAAAGCGATAGGCATGCCTTTAAAGCTTCGCAGGATGAGGGTGCCCTCATTGGTGGAGCAGCCTCCTAGCGAGGCGCTCTCGTCGCTGGAGTGTACAGTAACCTCAAAGAACACGTTGCTTCGCGAGCCGTAGGCTGCACAGCATGGGGGGCAAGCACACAGCTTGTCTTGACAGACAGAGCGATAGAGGTAGCGAGGGAGCAGCGGCAGCGATACGGCTGCACGCGATGCAGCTGGTCAGGTACATGCGAAGAGGGAAAGAAAAAGAGAGGCACAAGAAAGGGGGAAAAGGTGAACACAGACACAGCACGCACGGGGTGGCCATGCTCGGTGACGCACACGGAAGCACAAGCAGATGAGAGACGAGCAGTCAAGGAAATCCGAGGAATGCATACAGCGCAAGTGGAAAATACATACGCATGTGCATGCCTAGATGCACATAGATATATATATATATATATATGAAGACGGAGTTATGGGGGAGGGGGGCGTGTGGTGGGTGAGGGTGGAGGTAGTGGAGGTGTATAGACACCGCGAGGCCCGCGGCAGCACTGGACACATAGCGTGAAGAAGACGTAAGAGGGAAAAGCGGGATGCAATCGATTTGGCTATAGGGAATTTTCCTAACCCTTGGATACAGAGAGTTTGATCTTGTGTGCAGCAGCCAACTGCCGCACGTTCACGAAGTTGACACGATGCTCGCAATGTGGAGCTAAGGCACCCTGGAGGGAGCAGGTAGACACGCAGAACGGCAGGGTAGTATGCAATGCAACATCGTGGAGGATTCCATACATACATACGTATGTATATATGGAGCGGTAGCAAGGAGATACAAACGAACAACGGTGCACGCAGAGGCCCTGGTGGGAGCTGGATCGCAGAGATGATCAGCGATTCATGGAAAGACAGCCGATTTATTTAAAAATCGGTGCGACTCTTGAAAGGCAATAGACTCCATACTTTCTTACTTGAGTTACAGCAAGGAGGAGGACGTCAAGTTGCTCGTTTTCAATATCGCCAAAGACCTTGAGATGAAGGCCCTCCATGGGGTGCTTGAGTAGCTGGCTACTGAGTCTGCCTGCATGCACGAAAAGAGCTTGCGCAAAAAGGCATATTGAGGCATCATGCAACAAGGTACATATTGAGGTTTGCAACGAATCCGATCGAGGCAGCCCACAACCAGGCATACTGAGGTTCGAAGTCATGAAACGGCAAGTCAGCCTCCTGAAAACGCCAGCAACGGCGCCTAGAGGAAGCACTCCCTATTTGGATACTTTGCGCGGGTTAAGAAGCATTTGTGGCATACACTTGTTTGAATTACGCATGCAAAAACGCTCGAAGAGATCGCCCCCTCGAGAGATATATACAGACACAAATACACAAAAGCGGAGACTCCACAGACGGATCCAGGGCATCTGTCTGTACACCCGAGGCCTGCACCAATTCTCTTGACGACACGCTGTCCCTTGGCGCGCACACTCTGTCTCCGTGCCCAAGTTATAATAGCTAGTTATACTAACCGAGGATCTCTGCGTGATTCAGATACTTGGCCATCTTTGGCATTTCACTTGGGCGGATGCTCTGAATCGCAAAGACGCATGTATAGATACATGCATTCATCTACATGCACGCATGTTTTGCACACATGCCTTTGTAGGCCTCCCGCTGCTGAGTTTGCAGAGCGAGGCTCGCTGTTTCCCACGCTGACTGTGGCTGCGTTGCGGCAGCAGCAGCAGAACTGCACAGAGTGGTGTACGGGGAGGAGAAGGGCCGCTTTCTGCTACAATCGGGCATTATCCGCACAGGCACCAGGAGTGCCGCCTGAGGACACAAACGACTTCGGCTTACGGGCAGGTTGACAGCCGACTTGGGGAGTTCGCCTAAGAGTATGTGTTTTACTTGCTGAGCTACATCTAGCGAGACGTTGATTTGCGCCTCTCTGGTGCTGGCACCTGAGGAGGAAGAAGACTTGAACACACGGCCGGCAAGGGGTTGGGGAAAGGCTAGGAAGGAGAGGAAGACACGGCATGCACAGAACCGCAAGAGAGTGTCCTTAACAGTGCTTATAGCGAGGGGAGAGGCAACAATCGTGAAAAGCAGAAACACTGCGCATAACGGAACCCGCCACTGGGGGGACCACGGCAGCAAGCGTGAGGGGTGGAAAACATTTCTCGACGCACTGGATGCAAAAGCGAGCAAGGGAAAAGGAGGGGGTAAAATGACCACACAGCGAAACAAAAAAACAGTTTAGAAATGCGAGCACGCAGAGAGACAGAAACAGACAGACAGACACAGATAGACACACATACACATGTCACAAGCGATGTATAGAGAGAGTGGCAGCGTACCAATATGCGGAGTAAGGATCAGATTTACACCCTTTTCTTTTGCAACTAAAAGGGGGTTATCAGGAGAGAACGCTCGTTCGTTGCAGAACACGTCCAAAGCGGCGCCTCCCAAGCGACCCTCTGTCAATGCCTTAGCCACTGCCGCTTCATCGACTACGCCTCCTGTAGCAGCATGGCTCGCAATTTTGACAGATGCGAATCGACTCGGCCGCTTACTGCTGACGAATCGCTTGAGAAGAAAACACCGTGCCGGAATCCTCTTCTGCTAGCTACAGGGCTAACTAGCTAGCTAGCTAGCTAACAGGCTTGGCACCCAGGTCCCAGGCAGTGCCTTGGGAGAGGGGAATCTAAGTGGCTAGCTGGAGAAGATGAATCCCCCCTCTAGAAATGGCTAGCTGGAGAAGATGAATCCCCCCTCTAGAACTGGCTAGCTCGGCTTTCGGCGGACCGCGTCGATATACGACGGACAGTGCGCTTCAGAAGATCTTCGCTGTCTAGCGTTGCAAGCGTGCGAGTGAAGTCGAGACAGCTGGGCTGCGGGGAGCTGACCTCTGCTCGTGTTGATAAGAAGCGCGTGAGGTCGCATGAGGGCAAGTGTCTCTGCTCGAATGAGGTTGCGGGTGCTCGGTATGAGAGGTACATGCAGCGTTACGATGTCACCTGAAGAACGAGCACCCCACGGAAAAAGGAAAATCGCGTTCCTGCTAGCCACGCAGCAGAAATACCTGCAAGCCGCGAGAAGCGAAGCGACACCAGGCCAGCACAGAGTGGGCGCAGGAGAGTGAAGTTTTGAGTTTTTGGCGTAAAAATGCTAAACAACGCACTGTTTTTGAGGAGATCCTCGAGGCTGACGATGGTTACCCCCAGTGCCTGAGCCTTGGCCTGGTTTACGAATGGATCGTATGCTAATACCTCCATTTCCATGCTCTTGCAGATGAGCGCTATGTAAGACCCCACCTACGTGCACCACACACACCCTATGCAGTCGGCATGCATGCCATGAACAAGCGAAAAATGTCGGTATACGCATGGACAGCGCAGCACAGGACAGACACACAAGAGACCCCTTTGCTACTAGCGCGCAAATTACAATCTCGGTATCCCCAAGTTAAAGCTCCAGACTGAGGCACCCTCTGCGGCGAGGCAGGCGTTCGGTGCAGGTATGCTCATTGTGTGCTCTACTGCTGGCTATTTTACTAGCTGTATTGCTAGTTGCAGTGTTTGTCGTATCGCTACCTGTGTGTATTGCTACCTTTATGTATTGCTACCTTTATGTATTGCTACCTTTACGTATTGCCACCTGTATGTACCTGTCCAATTCCAACGATACCAATGGTCTTGCCATGCACCTGAGATCCTTGAAATTTGCTGCGTTCCCAATGGCCTTGTGAGACGGATTTGTCTGCGAGGGTGACTTTGCGGGAGAGCGCCATCATGAGGGTGAGTGCTAGCTCTGCCGCCGCAATGCTGCGAACGCAGCAGTGCAACATGCAAGGGGATACGAACGATTCAAGCAGGAGCTCCAGCTGCGAGGGCAGGGAAGGAGGTGTGAGTGCAGTAGGAAGCAGGAGGCAGGGCTAGAAGGTAGCAGTCGCAAGGAAGCAGAAAACCTAAAGTCATCCTGGTGAAAAAGAGGCAGACGATGCGCGAAGCAGCGCCTTCTGAATGCTAGGGTGTACAGTTTACGTGTTTCCTTGCGGAGAGTTCACGACATAGATGCCTCGGGCAGTAGCGGCCTCTAAACAGATGTTGTCGACCCCTACCCCAGCCCTTCCTGCAGTCCACGCACACTAAGCATGCAGCTGCAAATATTTTTTGAAAAACGACGCAGCCACTGCATTGAAGCACACGCCTAGCACTGCCCCTGCCGGCTCCTGTCTTGTATCGCCCCCCTTCGCCAGCTGTGTGTATCCGCGCCAGCCACAAGTGCCTGGCCTTACCAATGACTTTCAGCTTCGATCCTAATCGAATGAGCGTCTCAGTGACGCTTGTAGCGCTGCGGACGATAAGTGCGTCGTAGGCGGCTGAAGCCGCACATGCAAGAGCGAATAGGACTCACAGTCTGGAGCTCTTGAGACATCAGAAGCCACTGGCACAGGGGAGCTCCTGCTTAGGGGAGCGAAGACAGGGAGCAGCTGACGGGGCACAAGGCAACTGAGGGGAAGAAAGCCGCTCAGAAGACACCGAGGAGGCTGAGAAAACCGAGCGAGGCGAAAGAAGCTGAGACGGGAGGGAAGGGGCTGTATTTTAGAGTCAGGATACGGCTGAATCACGGAGGGGACCTTTAGATACTACCGTCAAAGCAGCGTGCCGCTGCTTCAACTAGACGGCAGAAAATCACAAAAGTGGACCTCTTCCCATCTGGCTGGATGGGAAACATATTCTGCCTACGGATAATGTGCTGAAGCTCTTCGGCCGTGATGGAAGCTCTCGAGTCTACGCTGGCAATTTCTTCAAGTATCTGGATGCCCGCAGGGTCCACACCGTCAACGGCCAGAACACGAGGCCTCTCCCTGGGAAAAACGGGAGGCGCAAAAAAGTCATGAGCTTAAAGCGCGGGGGTGGCAAGAAAAAACGCCCTACACGGAGAGACACGTCATGGTGGATACGCAGAGACTAGGACCATCATTGAGGAACAAAGGGCAGAAACGACAGGGATAAGGGCGACTGGACAGCCCTTCAAAAAGGAAACGCATCACAGAGTATAAGACGGTGAGGAAGGAAAAAAAGCGCAGTAGGACATGGAGAGCGCGGCACTTGCAAACCCACGGAAAATATGGTATCATGGGCTACACACTGAAGAGGGAAGTCGGAACGAATGATTAAGCAGAAAAAAAACAGTTTCGTTCAACAGAAGAGGGATTAGAGCTAAAACGAAGAATTGGCCACATTCCATGGCATTTTTGCGTCCACGGCATTGCACAAGTGCACGGATTAGCGGGAGTTGGGGTGTGCATCCTACAAAAAGCAGCGTGGGAACGAAGGAAGAAACGTTGGAATCCAGCGTTCCATGTACTAAGTCCATGGTTAATGACGTGATTCATGCTGATGGATGTGCCGAGAACCTACTTGAGGGCGTTCTCCTTGTTGTACGAAGCAGGCATGGTCGCAGTAAAAGGCAAAAACACGAAATGGAACTCACAAACAGGGTTCGCTCTGCCTGTTTATTCCCGAAAAAAGAGCAGAAAATGACGAGCCAAACGGATTTCAGAAAAGAATGTATCAAGGCAAGTGGAAATAACGAAATGCCACGGGGTCAGTACACACGCATGCCATGAAGGAACTGGTTACTTGGGTACCCACGGTGATCCCGGCTCAGTTTTGCCTTTTTCATAGTGTCCCGACCTCTTTTAAGACCTTTCCGCATATTTCGCTCATACTTATTGCTGCTTGAATGTATTTGACCCCGTAAACTCCCTAAATTTTCTAAACGACAAACCACACACTTCGTAACAGACACGAGCAAAACCACACTTCTCTGTAGAAAAGGTATGCTTAAAATAAGCTAAACGTCCTAACATACTATTCTTATGTGTAAAAGAAATTACGACATCGTATGACTGTTTTTCTGCTTAGGCACGAACTGGAACGTTTCCTTTCCTTGTGGAGCTTCAACTTAGGAATGCTATCACACAGCAGATTGAGTTTCAAGTACACGCGGCACTAAACGTAGAAGCGCTAGGACTGCATAATTTTGAAAGACTATTTGCTGCATATAAATGCTTTTTTGCATGCGCAGGCAGTTCAGAACTCACTGTAATCGGGAGTGCGCTGAATATCATGTGAAACATCCTCGGTTCACCCTCAACTTCATTGGGGTTCATTTGTTTTGTACCCTTTCCCTCCAATACCTCCTTCACTTACCTACAAAAGTTAGCTTTTAGTCCCAGAAATCGCTGAGACAACGGTCTCTTTTCAACTCCAAGATTGTGCCGGGCATGAATGTGAGCCAGATATAGTGAGTTAACCTACACTCTGAAATTTGCAATACAGGTGTTATGCTAAGCTAGATGTCGATAGATAAGTGCCTAAATGGTTTGTCTTCTTGTATCCTGCCTGTTGCAGTGATTGTAGGGTACTGTCACAGCAGCACAAGCATATGCAGTAGTGTATGCGTGTGCGGTAGACGCTATGTGAAACTAGCATTGAGTGCTCGGAGTGCTTCAAGGAAGCAGCTAAGAGCAGTCTAGCTGCCCCACATCTCCCATGACAAAAACTCCTGGGAATGTGGGCAGAGGGAGGAGAAGGGGTTTCGCAAAGCACTCAATAACTTTCTATTGCTTTGTATTGTGTGAGCAATCAACTCTCTCTACGGAGTTCGCAGCTAAAGCGTCATACAACCTAGCACCGCAGGGGCCAACTCAGCGGTTCCCCGCTCATCCACTGGGTACAGGTGCAATGAGCGGCCAGTTTCCGTACAACAGTTGTCTGCTTTTGGTAGACTTATTTTGATACTTCAATAATCTGGCTTTTGTTAGCAGTAGGCTGAGAAAAAGCCGGGTTCTTGAACTTTAGGGTATCGCAAAACCTCTTGGCGTGGCATAGGCCGGACTACAAGCCAATGTAAGCGTAGTGCCCACAGCTGGCAACAGGAGTACATTTTCAGCCGATAAAATGTTTCATGGATGTGTCGACGACGGCATGCCAACAAGACGAGTTCGACGGTCGTAGTGATGAGCAATTACTCGAAGAGTTCTTAGGCCGTTCGGAAGTAAATGCGTTTTGTAATCCTCAGATAAACAGAATCAGTGCTCCTCAGTGCATGTTTAGTTGAGGGAGAAATACTTTGATCCCGGCTCGGTTTGTATGGAGGATTTTGTCCGCCTGTAGAAATATACCAGTATTCAAGCATTCGCGGAAGCCTTGACTTGTCGCCATATGCTGAGGTCAGCTCTAAAACGGAGAGCCGAGAAAGCTGAAGCAGAAGAATTTATCAGTAGACCGGTATAGCGAGGTATATGAAGCTCTGCTTCACAAAAGCCACAACGTAGAGACAGCTGTTCTATCAATATGTTACAGCATGTCTAGTGAGACTGCTGCAGGATGGGCACTGAGGTAACAATCAAACCACTGGCCGGTAGGACCTCCACATATGCTGGACTAATTGAGGTTTCAACAGCAAACAAGCGCAAGTCCGACGTCTTTAGCTAAAACAAAAGTGACGCGTTGGGATGTGGAATCTATGGATGTTGCAGCTGTGTGAATCTATCCTAGCCTAACAGCTCAAGATGAACGAGGAAAGAAAGCAAAAGAACACCTGTGTTCCTGAGCAGCCCCAGAGAGCCTACCAAGAACTCTCCTACTTCTATCGCAGGAAAATAGGTCATATGATTTGGTTCTGCTAGCCCATGCGAAAAGCCAGGGAAGTCGAGCAGCGGGTCGGGCCAGCAGAAGGCGGCTGCTTGGGGATCCAAGAAGGCCCATTACTTACTTGGAGAGCCCTCTTGCAGGCTGCGGGGCATTAAGGGACGCTACAGCTGATACTCCGAAAGTTTACAACTTATTAATAATGCACTGCTACTAGCTCAAAGTATTGGTCAAGAACTGATGTGCTATCTTGACACTGGCAATGAGGTAGATCTGTCATACGAGGAACGGCAGTGCGATGTGCCTGTTCATTAGTTGCAACACTCCTCAAGACTCAGGTTTGCTGACGAGCAACAGAATACAAAATTCAGCAAGGACAAGCCAGTCAAAAATCCCTGTTCCAAATAGGAACTGGTTTCTATCCCTGTGGTCCATGACAAATAATGAGAGCTGCTAGCACTCTGGTCAACTGCAGCCCGTCTAGCACCCCATATTATGATAATCTTTGGTCGGTCTCACGCTACTTTTTGCGGTATCAGAAACTTCCGTAGCATGGAAATAAGCTTGATAGGCAGGCGCCTGACTGGTTGGAAGAGCACACAGTGCAAGAACCAACACACGCATTTGGGCATAAAGCGGTTATAATGCCGAAGAAGGACGGAAGCTCGAGCATGCACTTCAAATTTTTTTCCTGAAAAAGAATTATACAGAGCGAGCGCTCCCAACACCCAATACTGAAGAATAATCTGACTGCCCACACGGTTAGCAGTCCACTGAACATAAAACTGCAGAGACACTCTCTTTAAAATCTGCGTTCACTAATCTAGCAGGCACACAACGGCGTTGCAGACTCGCGAACACGAGTAGAACTGTTTGCCGCATTGGATTTCTTGATGCCACAAATGAAGTGCAACGGCACGTTAATTAAGATGTTTTGAGCCTTTGAAGGAGAGGTGGACGGCTGCCTTCATGGATGGCGCCTTACTCTTCAACCGAAAAGTTCAAGAACACCTACCGCACCTAGAGCGTGCATAACAGGTGCTACGGGACATGCAATGGTAGATGACCACAAAAAAAGTGTTTAACTTTTAAAAAGCAATTGTAATTGTGGAATTCCGTATCCCAAAGGAGTGGTTGAGCCAGATCCGGAAAAAAATTGGAACAATTAGTGTATGGCCTATGCCATTATGCACCTTCGAGGATGCAGAGAAGCTTCATTGGCTTGCACCAAGCGTACATTTTGTTGTACTGAGTTTGCAGGGATTGCTGCTTGTTGACTGATCTAATTAATAAAGCAAGGTCTATATTCTGGACAGGAGAAGCTGGTGGCTCAGCGAAGACGGTAATGGGTCGCCTTACAATTTCTCGGGTGCCTGCGCTGCCCGATTCAGAGCATCATGCTTTCCTATAAGCCGATGCAAGTCACGTATTAGTAAACGTTGCTTTTATTCAGCAGGCTATCGATTTTTCGATACACCAATTCAATGCTTGTTCTTATCGCCATATTATAATCGAGGATCGGTGTAGAGTGCGGAAAATACGAACTCTTTGGGGTGTGGAGGGGTTGAAAACGCTGGCACTAGTTTTATGTCCATTAATTGACTGTCCAGACCGACCAGCAGCCTTTAGTAGCTTGAGTGCCTCCTGTTGAAGGACTTCACCGTGATGTCTGTTTCTGGTATCATCAACGTGGTCACCGGTGTGCCCTCACGAAGCCCAAGCGGCTATTCATTGTGTACCCTAGTCGTTCGAACTCGTGAAGTTCCAGGAGACCCATCAAAATTATTTGCGCCTTATGCTTTTGCATGCACTCCATACTATTGCCAAAAACCAGAATGGCAAAAGCATTCAGCACTACCACTGTGAGGATGGCTTGCTGTGCTTTAAAGCAAAGTCAGGACTGCGTCTCTTTGTACAAAACGACTTCCCACATCACTCCTAGTTTGTGTAAAAGCCAGGACAGTGCTTTTTAGGATCGCTTTTACGTTTGCACTGTAGTGGGAAAGCTGTCACGATCCTTGTGATGCCTTAGGGTGCGCCTCACGGCAGAGGAGGATGTCCTGTCACGTTCAGATTGTCCGCAGCTGAAGCCGGAATGTTCTCCTTCAAGCGCCGCATTTTGGAACGCCCTTAGCGGCCTGAAAGACTTTGGACTGATCTCACTGTAGACTTGATTGGTGGCCCCCGGAGGCCAGGGGTCAAGAAAGCATCTACGTCGTTCTCGGCAGACTCAAGAAAATATGCATATTTAATCCCTTGCTTCAGCTCTACCCCGGCTCAGGAAGTCGCTCAATTATGCTATAGTCGTGAGCCAAAGATACACATACAGATTTTCCCACGAATATAAATACAATGGGATCCAAAACATTTTACTGCGTTTGGGCAGGCCTTTCTGACCCGCCTATAGATTGGCCATAGTATGGCGACTGCAAACCACTCCCAGGCAGATTGCCAGACAGATTGTACAGCCGCAGTACTTGCGAGTCGAGGAGCACGAACAGCTAGATTTGTGTTTAGTTGTTTCTTTGGCAGAATGGGCTTGTAGTTACACACACTTATATACTTATTTCTGTCCCGCAGCGCTGGTCTACACTTAGGAATTCCTGGTCGATTGGGCCTGGAATTGATATTCTCAGTTCATCAGCCACCTTTGGCGGTGGAAATGTCCGGTGAACAGCTGGAAGCGCACGGAAATGTGCGCGCACAACTCAATAAGGACGAGTATGGAGCTATCATCAGTGGCGGTCGGCTAGGGTTTCGAGGCTGCTGTGGTTGGAATAGGTACATTTATTTATCAACACTGTATTTTGAATTGTTAGAGAGTACTATATACTCAGATTTATGCGCAGACACTTTCGGGTATGTTGTTTCTCAATTATTCATTTGGCCGGTTTTTGGGCCTTGAAGTCAACTGTGGTGTATACAATGGCTCTATAAGCATGCAGAGATTGCTCTATTAGGCATGAAAACGCCGGTGAGCTACTTCACATTTGAGTCTGTTTACCAACACTACCACCAGGGTGCAAAGGCTCGCAGCGGTCGGCTCGCTGAAATTTGCGAGCTTCCTGCTCCGCAAAAGTAGCAGAAAGGCATTGTTGGTTTGTCACTCGTTCGCTGTTGGCTAGCGTGTGTGCCTGTCGTTTAGTTTATCTGATTTCAGAAGTCGATGCACACCTTTGTTTCTAGCATTTGTAATGCTTACGGGTGTCTGTTTGCCTCCACAGGGGAGGTATAGCGGGACCTTTTCGGCTCTCCTATGCGAAGTTTGGCTCGACGTACAAGTATTGTACAGAGGAGCGTATTTTTAAAACTGGGTACAGGATATAGCCGGCTAAGCGCTTCCTACTCCACTAGCCATTTTAATTAGGAATTATTACAGAATCGACCAACTGAGCTCTCTGTTCCTACAACTCACTTATTGCAGTTTCCTATTATATCGATATCAGAAGACACAATATTGCCTGAGTGTGTGTATGTATGTATCCATGTATGCTAGATGGAAATGCTTGGAGTGCCTTGAGGGTGCAGCTACGCGCACCCTCGACATCCCTCTTCCCTCCTGCGCGAACTCCGAGACTTTCAGGCACAGAAAGGCTGGATCTCTTTTTTCTTATTAGATTCAATAACCTGCTAAGTTTGTGGTGAAGATCATGCACTGTCTTTTAAGAGAGCTACCTCCTCGCCTTCGCCATGTATTCAATCCAAGCTTTCCATAGGGCGATAGTGAACGCCAATTAACAAATTGTTAAAGATTAATTAAGGGGTTTTGATAGGAACTTCCTTCTTCTCCTTCCAGTGTCCTTCATCTCAAGTCTCCGAAGGGACATGACACTGTTGAAGACAATACACATTTAGTTCCTCTTCATCTTTGATAAGGCTTTTGCAGCAATAAGCCTCTTGATGTGACCCCGGGACGAGCGGTACACGGTGCCTGAGCATGCGAAAGAATGTCATGCATCGAAATTTTTCTGAGGAATCTGTGTCCTTTGAACAGCTTAGAAACAAAATTATATTTTCCACCCAAGCAGTGGCTCGCAAAGTCTATCAGGCTGCGTACCAGTGGATGCAGGGGAACGGGGTGGCTCTGGTTCTGCGTTTAACGAAGACGCCATTGTCTTGTACATATTAAATCGCATGTTCGGCTTAGGATTATGTCTTTCCCCTCTGTGTTTTAAGAGAACCTAGCAGTAGTAGGCTACAATGCATTTAAGCCACGAAGGGGAGTACACAGCAGGCTGCTGATGTGGTTGCACTGAGGAATCTTTCACGGATCACGGAAGCCGCACAAGGACCAGCGTATATAGGCGTTTTGATGTCAATATTTGAGGCCTTGGTTAGGGTTGCTTTAGTAGTACAGCCCTAGCAGGTGAAGGTGTAATTATTTTTGTTCCGGGGAAGGCGGCCTGCATAGGACACGTTGGCAGTAACAGCGGGAGCCATAACTAGATGAGAAAACAACGCTATAGCTTTGAAAATGGACTTTGTTCATATGTTATTGAAAGTACAACTTTTGCTGTGACTTGAACCACATTCAGGGCCCCCACCACCCAGGGAAATGCATGGGGGCCCTAGGGGGGGCCCTAAGAAGAAGGCTGTGTAGCTCTCTGATTAACAGGCTCTTGCATAAGCCCCAAGACCTGATCCCTTACCTCCAAACTTGATCTCAAGGAATTTCATGGCCTATTGTGGGAGTTTGAACTAAGTCTAGCGCCCACCAAAATTTGCATTGTTCGGTCCGGACTGAGAACGCCATGGGTTCATGTGTTTCGCTCGCCGAATAATTCGCTTCCCACTAAATTTGCTCTCTTAATCCCCGCATACCGGTTCCTCCTTCACTTGTTCGAATTCGTCTGCTTCGCTTGTTTCTCGCCCCGCCTCGCGAAGATGTGCAGTCTGGTGCGTCCCAGTGACGTGTTTGACTTGTTTGAGATGCAGCACGTGAACTTTGTGAATCTTCCTGAGAACTATGTAATGAAATACTATTTCTTTCATTCGCTTTCTTGGCCCCAGCTCCCTACCGTCGCCCAGGATGGACAAGGAAAGATCGTGGGCTATGTCCTAGCAAAGTTGTAAGACCCTATAATACCAAGTACAACGGAATAGAGCGCATGTACAAGTCCCTTATAAGCCACGTTAGAGAACACGAGAATACTCTTTTAGCAGATCTGCGCCCCCATGTCATATGCATTTACATGTCTACATGTAATGGACACTCAGCAGCGCCTCCGATTGCTTGCTGTTCAAGGCTCTTTTAGCCGCAATGTCTTCCGTCCCCGTCTGCGCGAGCACTTTCCGTTACCATTTACGCTCAACTTAGCGTCGAATTACATGTAAGGCATACTAGCTAAGGTTTAGGATATGAGGTCTCAGTATTAGCGCGTTTTTGCGGTTCGTATTTGTCTCAGAGAGGATGAGAACACCCAAGGACAAAAGCCTCATGGCCACGTGACATCGGTTGCTGTTTTGAGACAAAACAGAAAGCTTGGTTTGGCCTCCAAGCTCATGACGCTCTCCCGTGGGTTGACACTTTAGGTCTCCCCTGGGGTGGCATTCACTTACAAGTACATTTTGGTGCGCTTTGAGCTTATCGGCATACGTGGGTATCTTGTTTCTGTATCCATTTATAGAGCGAGCAATGGAAGACATCTTTGCCGCGGATTATGCGGCGCTTCACGTTCGTGTCACAAACCGAGCGGCCTATGCACTATATAGCAAAACTCTTGGATTCAGGTAATCAGCCTCCCCGGCGTATGCAGAAAGCCTTTTGTCCCTAGGGATGGGGGTGCACGCCTCGAATGATGCCTTTTTGTTAAAGTGTATGCACACCTCAGCAACTGTCGAAAACAGCATGTTCTTGAGGGGGGTGCGCATGGGCCTGCCACGCAAGGCCTGCAGACACAACCGTTTATTGATTGGCATTCATATTCTTCATGACTGTGTGCCGTATTTACAGTCCTTTCAATATTTCACTTTTTCCAGGGGTGCTATATCGTCTAGCTTTCTCATTTGGCGGTTTGTGTTTACGTGTCGTGGCTCATGCATATGTGCTTGTGCTGATGCAGGGTGCATGACATCGACAAGGAGTATTATGCGGACAAAGAAGATGCATTTAATATGAGAAACTATTTCGACAAGGGTACACGTACACTTGAAAAGCACGAAGCGGAATGGAGTGTAGTCTGGCGAAGCAAAAAGCTGTGCTAAGATTTCAAGTGCTCCATAGATCCTACGTAGATCTTCTGCATAGCAGAACCTCATGATACGTGCTGTATTAACTATGCGTAAAGGGGGACTAAGCACATATAGGGGGACTAAGCACATATACCCTGAAGAAATAATATAGCGACCTCCCAATTTCACGCTTTTAAAACACATACATGGATCTATTTACATGCGACTGCTTATGGGGGTACAGAACGGCGCCGGAAGGGACGTCGGCCAGCAGAAGAAGAAGCAGCATGCATACCAGAAACCAGCGGGAAGACACAGGATTCCAGTGTAAGTTAACCCAGCTAAATAGACTGAAAAGCATAGGGTTCAAACAGCCACACCACGGTCTCTCCTGAACGGTTAATGCTGGAACTCGGGGAGATCTGCTCGATGCATGCAGGCTGCAGCTCCGGCACCCGAAGCAACAGTGGCAAAGCCAGGGGATGCGCGCGGAGCAGTAGCGGGCACTGCAGTAGCGGCAAACGCAGGAGGAAGCACAAGCAGCGGCAGCAAAGGCAGGAGAAAGAAACGGTAGAGTTTAGGGTACACAGGTAAACCCGTCCAGGCCCGCCATTCCATAGGATAGGGCACAACGGAACCTCGTCTTTTTCAAGGGGTTTTGCAGCCTAGGCTCTAGTCCATGCTAGGCCAGCATCACAGAGTGTCTATGAGCTGGTGGTCTGTGAGTGCCCTGCTCTGTCTCTTAAAGGCGCGAGCTTGATGCAAGTGTGCGTTAATTTCGAAGCTGATTCGTTCAACCTCTCTTGTGCTTCGGTCTGACATATGGGAATGCGAATACGCATCACAACTGAAGTTGTTAATATGTTTCCACATAGTATGCGAATATACGCTTAGCCATGGCAATATTCTGAGATAGTGCCTTAAGATACGCTGGACTGTTTTATTTGCATTAATGTATGGATAGATATCTCATGTGGATATACTTGCATGGACACGAATGAATGTTGTGTATTTGCACGTGCTTTTTGCAGCCGTGCCTCTATATACGTAGAGTCCATGTTTTTGCCCCTAGAGAGAGGACCGTATATCTTGGATGGTTCGCCATTAAGTAGACTGTTTAGGGATAAAGTATCGCAGGCTGGGGGCTGGGGGGTATGGGAGGAAGGGCGCTAATGCCCCATAAGGCTGTGGCAAGCTCTCAGCTTCCAATTCTTCTGGAGGAAGGTACATTGAGGGTCGTGGCGGGGCGCTGCTCCTGCGGTGTTTATACACTCTCAAAGGACAGAGGCGAAGTTGAATGGGGCAACAAGGAGAAGGGGGGCTAAGTAGAGTGCGCAGTAGATATAGAGGGAGAAACGGGAGGACACAGATGAAGAGGGGGCAAATGACAATGGACGAGTAACCGTTAAGTGTATCTGGGTGCTCGTAGCTAAGTAACTTTCGTGTGGACACGAGATACTCTTTATGGCAGCACGAGCGTACATAGATTCGGCTTAATATCAACAGTTTTAGGATTATTAGCTCGACGCGTCCTCCAGTCGGTTCTAGGTGCTTCACGAGATAGCCTTGAAAGCGTCTCGCCGGATTACGGGGGACGCCTCCATTTAGTGGAGAGCGTTGCATCGCGTTCTTACCGGGGGACCGCCCTCTCTCTCTCTGCTTTTTTCATCTCGGCAGCCTCTCTAAGAATCTGTCTCTTCTTCCGGCGTCTCTCCGCTTGTTGCTGCAGCTCAGCCTCGACCGCAGCGGAGGGTGGCTGCCGATGCAGCAAATTCACCCTGGCAGTTGATAGCTGTTCAGTCAGCTCCTCCTGCATCCGGGTTAGCTGGGGCAGCATTGTCTAAAAGCAACACAGCACAGGCTTTCGCTGTGCCTCCTTACGAGCCACAAAGCACGCGGACATTCTTTGTCCTTTCTGCCTCCTCCCATCATTCCGCTCTCTACGTGTCTTTGTAGCCCTTTGTCTCATCTATCTGTACCACTGCAGCTCTCCGTGCTAAAAAAGAAATCAGCCTCGCTTTCTGTGCGCCTGCTCGCGCTGACCAGTTAATCCTGTCCGCACTCTGCTTATGCGGCAAACACCCTTCCTGTACCCGCCTACACAGCATGCCGCGACGTAACTCACTTTGTACATGATTGTCTCCGCACGAAGGCATCTTTCCTTTTTGCTTATTTCCCCCAAACGCTGTTGCAAAGTTCCCAACGTCTCAATAAGCTCGAAGGCCACTTCCCGACCCGACTCAGTTTTGCTGTATAGATCCTCTAAGGTATAAACAGCAAAAAAAGAAAGACATCACCATCCAAGTGTGTTTGCTCATTTGTGGAGTGCGCACCAGTACTAGTATTTATGTGTATGCATGTGGGCATGCGAGCATCCAAGTGTCGGTGGATTGTATTCGTTTTTGAACGTGCCTGTGCTGCTCTGAAGCTAATACATATACTGACAGCTATGCACAAATCTACATACAGTACATATATGGGACTGGCCGCATGTGTCTCTGTAAAATGAGTATCTGCAGAAGTATACATATCTGATGAGGTGCTCCGTGCAGCTCCTCCCCCAAGGATGCATAGGCTGGTTTATAAGTTGGAAAGACAGGAAGTTTCTCGAATTTCCCTCCTTTTACCGCGGAGACACCTATAGTCCAACCCCTTATATCTGTTCCCTCTGCTATTCTCGTGGGCAGATCCCTCTCAAAGCCCCCGTCCCGTTATCGTTTCGTTCGTTCCTCACTGTTAGCTTCGTCTAGTTCCTCAATCCTGGGCTGGAGATCCAGCAGTTTTACCTTCTGGGCATTGAGGCGCTGTTGTAGTTCCTTTTCCTTCGCTAGTAACTCCTCCATGTCAGGCTCAGCGCTGAGGAGTACACACGCCACGAGGATCGAAATATGACCCCTGACAGTCAGAAAGGGACCACAGAGTAAAGCCACTGTACCTATTCATTCTAAACTTTAGTCCTTAGCATCTTCAATACATTTCCGTACCGCCCAACTTCTCTCCAGGGCCGGCTACCATGGGGGTTCTCTGAGGATAACAAGGACGCAAGGATCTTTCTCGAGCCACGCCAAACCTCCACAGTCTACTGATTTTGATGTAGCTGTGCGCTACTCCAAGGCTTACCGAGCTCAAGTCGGAGTCTCTTGGTGCTGGACTTTTCCTTAGCTAGCTCATCTTTGAGACTTGCAACCTCCTCAGCTAACTCCGGCACAGCCCGGCATCTTTTCTGCTGGATCTGCAACTGCTGCTTCAGCTCTTTTGCCCTCGCACGCAACTGCATCACTTCCTGCAAATGTAGACAGCCGGATAGATTTTTGTGCCACTGGACTCGTGGCAAAGTGACACTAACTATGCATTGTGTGGAGAACTGGGCAAACAGCCGTGCGCTACGAATACAGTATTTTTTCTGGTGAGCCAGATGACTACTTTTATGCGGATACAACATCAATATGCACTTCAGTTGCCAGCTTTGTACATGTACATTCCACATTCTTGCCCCCACCCCTCTACCCAGCTGGTGAAGAGTTGACTACACCTCTACTTCTCAAGCGTACAGATTCGGCCTCTTGGGTCGCTAGCAGACTTCTCCTCTCTGCGTATTCTGAGCTCATGCAGCAACAACGTGCGGGTTTGCTGCTAGTGTTGGTTGTAGCGTTAAAAGCAACGGGCGCTATGCCACATCGTGCTCTGCAATCAGGGACGCAAGGGGCAGAACAAGGCTTGGGGGATAGTAGGGTAGCTTACCCATCGCATTACTCCGTTCCCACATAAGGCAAAGCTCGTCATTCCTGTGGAAACGACACCGTGATGCTTCCAGCGTTCAGGCACGAAGCATTGGGTGCATATCTTGGGTTTGCGCCCCCTCACACTGTTGATCTCGTTTGCAGCCCGTGTTCTCCTATGATGTTTGCCTTTCTATTCCTTAGACCGTTTCTCTCCTGTTGTCAAGAGCTCTCTCTCTGCCTCCTTCCGTAGTCCTGCCTTTCTACGCCTGACCCTGTTCCCTCAGTGTACTGTTTGCCTGTAGCACCCTTCCCGCCGTTTTGTTGCCAGTGTTAGTAAAATACACGCACCTGTCTATCAGCTGCACCCCAGTCACGTTCCTGCTCTCCACTGCCTTTTCATAGGCATCCTTTTGCCTCCGCATTGCTTCTTCCAACTCAGAAAGACAAGAATTGAGGCGCTCAGAAGTCATCATTGACTCCTCTACTTCCACTATGCACATACGTAGATGCGTGCAACTTGTTGTGCGTTTTTAGTGCATGCGTCTAATCATGCACAGATGAACTAATGGGTTCACGCGCAGAGGCAATATACAAAAATAGGTTCGTAGAAAAGTGAAGTGGGACCACGCACAGGGTCCGCAGTAGCAGGAATAAGTTCAGGGGTTAAAACAAGGTGTACCGCAACATTGAAGGACGCGAAGGTATGAGGAGTAGGACTAGCATTAAGAGCGGCAAAACGAACCATTGCAAGCGGCAATCTTCTGCAGCAGGCGAGAATGCTGGCTGCGGAGCACAGCCCTTTGTTGTAGTGCCTGGTGGCACTGCATTGTAATGCCCTAAGCAGAATCGCCACTGCATATTCTGCTAATGCTCCCGGCTCTGCTCGCACTAATGTTTTCGATGCGGCTACCCCTTCTTGCTTATCGGAGTGCAACTCGGAAAGCATGCGCCCACCAGCACCCATATCTTTCCGAGGACACATGGCCCGCCTGGTAGGCACTTTTTCCGGCTACTTCTCTTCGTGTCTATAATTTTGTGTCTTTCCGTGTTTCATGGCGTCTGCTGCCTATATGCTTCTTTCTCTATCGGTTCCTCCTCGTGTGCCAACGATCCCGTCTTTCAATCTCTGCGCCTTTTTTATGCCTCTGCGTTGTCCCTTCCTGTGCCTTTGTGCCCCCTCCCTGCTTTTTCCAAAGCCCCTTTCTATGTCACTACCCCAATTTCCTCTGTGTGCCTCTCCCGTGTATGCCTGACCTGAATTGTCGCGTCTTTGGACTCCACGTCTTTCCTAAAAATATCAATTTCATTGGCCAGCACTCTTTGTCTTTGCAACAGCTCGGAGAGGCCCTGACCAGCCTCCTGGATTTGAATTGCGTAGGCCTCGCACTGCTGCCGCACGCGTTCGATTCCCGCCTGCTGTTTCTCCTGCTCCCCCCAAATTTCGTGCAGGCAGCGCTCCGCGAATGTTGCCTCGACACCCTGCACACCAGTATCGGCTCGGTAAGCAGTTGTTCAGCTGGTCAGCTTATAGGTCGTGGCCTGAGCACGTACCTTGCGATTTACTGCGGAGATGGGAACGTTCAATGGCGGCACTCGTTGGCAACAGCATGCACGCGAGGAGGACTAAGAAGAAGGGCAGGCAGCTACCTAGGCTTATTCTGGGTAGCGATGAATGAGTTTGGTTCGGAAGAGGCAGAGAGAAGCAGTGTGGGGGGAGCGCCCCAGGTAGGGAGAATGCGAGGTTCTGGAAGCAAAGGTGGCAGCTCGTGCGTAATGTAAGCATTTGCATACTTTTGAAGAGTACGCACACCACAGTTAAATTGTATGGAAATATGAAGCGGAGCGTCACTGTAGGAGCTCTCATAATCAACGCAACAACAAGAACATCTAGGTACATTTGCAGGACCTTGAGGTTGAGCTGTTCTAGTGTCTCCTTCCTTAGTCGTTCGCTATCCGCAAGTGCTTGGGCTGCTTGCTGCCGCTGTGCGGCCATTTCTATCTCCATCGCATTCCAGCGGGCTATGCGTTGCAGCACCTGCGCTGCCTCCGCTTCCAGTTCACACCGCCGCTTGCTCTGCGCGTATGGGCACACACCTGAGCTTGGGGAAGTAGGCGATACGGTAAGGGTGTAGGTGCTCACAAGAATGGTTTGAAGATACATCGGATGTATTAGTTATGCAGGGAGTTGGGGTTAGGGGTAGAGCTATGAGTTCGTAGGATACCAGTGAGGTAAGATCTTCTTTTCTCTGCTTAAGAGAAGCTTCCTGAGAAGAAATGTTGGACAAAATGGTCACAGCAACAAGCTGAGGTTTAGTGAGCTCTCGCGTTGGGGTTTAGGCTGTTCAGGATATACGGTTTGAGATTTAGGGCTGATATACATCTCCTTTGATGCGGTCGTACAATTCCTCGTTCTTGGCCCTTAACTGTCCTGCCTGCAGCCAGACCACATCCCTAGACCATAGCCTTTGCAGAAGCTTGCAGCTCTTCGCAGACGATGGCGTTTCTATACCAGTGAAGCCACAAGGGATATGCAGATCGAGGGAGCAGCAGAGAAAGAGAAAGATCCTAACAGGCAAGCCCAAGAAAGCCATAGACACAGAGAGCGACTGAGAAAACTAGAGTAAGCCGACGAACAAAAAACGCAGCATGCGGGTGAAGAGCTGCAGACACGGACGGCAACTTGCCTCTTTCGTGCGAGAGGCAGACTCCATTAGAAGAGCTTTTTTCTGAAGCTCTAGCTCCCCCTATGACATTTGACACACGTGACGCAAATACGAAACCTTGAAAGCGTGCATAGTTTCCTAATAACGCACGAGGCTGCAGGCAACTTTTAGCCCCTTAGAGCCTGGATCTTCCAGTGGTCCATTTAAAACTTAGAAAAGGGGAGCTGTGGATTGAGACCTTGAGCAGCCCAAGACGCAAAAGTATCCCACCTTACGAGCCACTAAAACAGGGAGAAGCGCTGCAGCACGGTCTCGTCGCACAGTGCCTTTATTGTAGTCCCTGCACTCACATCTCATACAGTTGATACCCTCAATCCTAGCACCTTGCCAGCAGTCGACAGTCGCGATCTCCACAGCGCTTCCCAGATCTTTTGCTTTCCCCGTTTCTCGCGAATCGAACTCCGAAAACGGCGCAGGGCAGCTACCTCGAGTCTTAGTCAGGTCCAAACCCTACCCTTAAACCTTAAAATCTGACGCTTAAGCGAGGCAGGCTGGCCCTTGTGTATATCTCACAGCTTGGCCCTCTCTAGGACGGTTCTAAAGTGCTGAAGCTCCTCCTTGGCTTGTTGCAAGGACGCAGCGGCAGCTTTCAGTTCTGCCTGTATCGTGTTGCGGCATTCGGTGGTGTCGGCAAACTCTAGCTGATGTCTCCGCACAGCCGGAAGTCTCAACACACGCAGAAATGAGGAGTGCAACCGCAGCCGCACTGGTGACAACCTGAGAACTTTTTCTCTAGCGGATGCATTGGAAGGATCCGCTGCAGCTACCCAAAGAGCAAATGATTAAGGCAACTAGCCTTTTACGCCATCAGACGGCAATTGCAGCGTGCAAGTTCCGCAGCTAAAGCTTCTAGATGGAGCAAGGTAGGGCTAAGGTATTAGGCATTGTGGCCTTAACCCAGAACTTAGGGCTAAGAGTTTGCCTGCGCCAGGTCGAGTCGAGTGCGTATGCTTCGTTGTTGTGGCTCAAGCTCCTCAGCCATCCTCCGCTGCTCCTTCAGAGTTTGTTGCTGCTGGCTCAGCTTTTCTGTCAGGGCCTGTGTGCAAAGCCGACAATATGCATGCAGCAGCAATAGGAGTAGCCGCACTAAGGGCAATCATATCCTCGGCTCGAGAAGGCCACGCGACTGAAGTCAGTTCAGTGAATCAGGATATGAGATTGCGCCTTTAAATTGCACTTTGGTCCAAGGGTGCTGTCTACTTGTATTTCGGTATTCGCCTGTGCGACTAGCTGTTGCTGCTCCTCGGTTTGTTGTGCCACCCGCAGCTCTTGCTGCTTCATTGCATTCAACATGTGCTGTACAAGTTCGCGCTGCTCCGTTTGCCTCTGTGGCTGAGACAACATCTGGGTAAGTTCTTCATTTAGGCTCTGCTGCCGAGCGGCAGTCTCCTAAAGGATACTCAAGCAGGTGAAGCTAGCTCAGTGTGCATGCGTGTAGGTAATGAAAGAGTCTCAGACCAGCTATTCGGGTGCAGATGGCGAGCGAAACGCCTTCTAATGAGCCAGTAAAGGCAGGTGGTCTGGAAACTCGCTAATTGCTAGCTAGCTGTGTGGCTGGCTATAAAAGATACCCAGGAAAATGCACGGTTGTTCTTCAGTTGACATGTAGTGTGCTCATTTTACAGCTTAGGATTCGCCTTGCCTCTATCTTTCCTACGAGCGCTTTTTCTTTTTGACTCAATTTGACAACTTCATCCTTGCCGCGCTCTGTTCTTCACAATCACTAACCCACATACCGAAGCCCCTATATACATGCACCCTAAGCCATTAAAAAGCCCTAGCGGAGAAAAAAGCATCAAATCTTTTTCTCGCGACTGGCCAGTTCTGTAGTGATTGCCTTCAGGGGTTTAACACCACCGGTTTCAAATGCTTAATTTAAAGCTCTAGACGTTCCCAACAGCTTAGGAGGTCTCTCTTTCGAATTTCGGCTCACCAATAGACGCATTGAGCCGTTTCTCCTCGCGCTGCAAAGCGAAGCAGAGGGTCAGCACTACCAAAGAGAGTTTGATGAGCGCAGACGCATACCTGTGCTTAGAGATACATCGAGGCTCAAACACACGGATAGGTGATATTAACGCTTGAATATTCACAAAAAGCAAAGCACGACACAGCAAACCAGAGCGACCACGAATAGGGAGTGGATGAGTGCAGCAGAAAAGGAGAGCGTTTTAGTGCCCGTGTCAAGGAAGAACCTAAGGAGGAGAGACTGTAAGACTACAGACGGATGCGAAGGTACTAGCAAGAAGGCTGAAGAAAACAACTAAAGGATTGGAGCGAATACCAAAGAACAGGAATGCTACTTTTTCCTGCCTTCAGAAGCGCTTAGGAGACACTACATCAGTTTTGCGGAGAAGTGCGAATTTTCAGGTACCTTCAGCAGTTGAATAGTTTGTGAAGCTCCCTGTATGAACACCGTCTCCACTTCAGCAGCTCTAAAGGAGGAACCACGAACGAAAGCCCCAACAGGCTCCAGACGTATGGCACCGCTTCGAAATTTCACATTTTTCGCGAGAAGCCTCACAAGGGGCCTTTTGGGGGTTATTTAAGAGGCCTTAGGGAGGACCGCGTTAGGAGCTGCTCTGCCTTTTGCAGGATGCCTTGGCTGGCTCCTACAAGGCCATACTAACCGGCTTCTTAGCGGCGTCACACGAGCCTTTTAGAGAGAAAGGCATTAGGCAGGGAACCCTTTGAGTGATCTTTCAAAGGGAAACCTTGCGTTTGAGTTGGCTGACCGTTTGACTTGTGTTTCGAGCTGTCCCTGAAGCTCTTGCGCTTCCGCTTTGAGCGCAGCCAGCTGCTGATGCAACATATGTTGTCGTGAGGAGGAACGGACGACATCAGCTTTCTTCTGTAAAGGCCGAGACGTGAAGGAGCACGCTTCGACACGTAGAGAGGCAGCGACGCCGCCAGTTCGAACTAGGGAGACACTGGGGGCTTGTGGCTCAAGGGGTTTTTCTCAGGGCATTTGGGATAATTGTATGAAGCGGATCGACTGATAATAGGGGCGGCAAGTACATCTAAGTAGGGAGCCTATGCTATTTTGTTGAGCTTGCTGTTAGAAGGGGCACGCGCGAACGGGGAGATCGGAGGTAGGAGGGAAGGCAGGATAGACAAGGCAGTGTGGGAGCGTAAGAAGTCTATTGGTGGGAAGGCCTTCCGAGACTGACGGGAAATCGTTGCCAGCAATAAAGGCGATTCACGCGAGAGACAAAAGAAAGAGGAGCGAAGCAGCAGCTAAGCAGCTCAAGAGGCATGAAGGCATCAAAAAGTGGGGAGTCCACGAAGTCTATATCCTAATGTTCCCCTGACACCTGCACCCTAAACAGTAACGACGATGCCCCATACCCGATCCTCCCAGCAGCATAGGGTGACAAGCATCCCGTGGGGTTCGCACCTCATTGATTTCATGTTTCAGCGAAGCAATGCGTTCAGCGTATTGTGCCGCCTTTGTTGCAGCTTCTGCGAGCTCCTCCTGCTGATGCGTTAACTGCCCCTGCAATCGCTGGAGCCTTGCTGCAGCGTAGCTCTCCTTTGATGCAGCGTGAGCGTAGCGCTCGTGCAGTTTGAAGAACTTTTGCTTTAAGAGCAAAGCCCTGAGCAGAAAGGCGCGTGCAGTTGGACCGCAGCCTTCAGAGTAGTGTGGTTAGTTGCGACTTGCCCTGCTAATGCTTCTTCTGCTATTGCTGGAGCTGCCAAAAGGACTACTGCTTACTTGTTCACACTCAGGGCTCCTCTCTCGCATAGGGAGTCCAAGCAACTACTCACATTCTCCTCTATTGGGGGTGGCGGCAGTTGCACGATTAACAGCCCATCTGAAGCTGATGCCGTTTCCGCTGGCAGAGTTGGTGCATCAGGTAATGGCTGTTGCTGCAGCGCAGGCAACAAATCTTTCTCCTGCTGCCCCTCCCCCATGGTCATCCCTACGCTGTTTCACTCAGCAGGGCCTCTGGGTGTAAATACACCCTAGAAGGCCAATAACAGCTTCTCTGCATACGATACAGTCTGTGGTTCCGCTCGCCCCCTGTGTGTAAAATCCCCGTTTTCCATAGGTTTTTGAGTACTGAAGTGTTTGTGCCGCGCTTAGTAGCGGCCCAAGGGCTACCTTTTGCTCTCACTCCCACGCAGCATTACTGAATTGAGGAGGCTCGTGCCGGTAAACGCACGTAGCTAGCTCTCACTCCAGCCAATGCCTGAAGAGCGAGCTTCACTGTTCAGGAGGCTAGATGTGAGTCGGCCATTGCCGAAACAAGCGTCAACGGCAGTCTCAGCTAAATGCTAAACGCAAAGAGAGAATAAGGCTGATGCGTGGAGCACCGAGCGCCAGATTTGCGCTCCTCAGGCCGCTACATGCCAAGCTTTGAACGAAACAAGAGAGAGTGGAAGGGCATGGACATCAAGCTAGCGGTTAGGAGATGGATAGCTCGCTCCGACGTACTCTCTTGGGTGTTCCGTGTGTCGGCTCTATGTTTACAGGGGTGCTTACATACGGTACTGTACATAAAAACCGGCCGCTATGGTTTCTTTCTATACCTTGAAGGTTTTAGACAAAAATTTTAGGAAGTCATTACAATAGTATTTTTTGAGATACGCTGCCAGCTGTACACAGTCCCACAAAGCCCCACTGCTTTCCTCCCGCTATGTCTGGGGGTCGTGTCCGCTTGTCGCTCCGCCTCTGTATCTGTGAGCTTCGTGCGAGGAATAAAAAAAATCGAAATGCTCTGGATATAGCTTTGCTAAGAGAAGAAGAGAGAAAGGAGTGGCTCACTGCAGATTCTAGAATTAGTTACGTCTAACGCGTTCGTATCTGCAGCTGCGCATTTTTATGTCTGATGCAAAGAGGGAGAGGACAGAGGACACATCTGTAGGGCGATTTTAAGAGCGTTTGATAATAAAGTAGAGAACAAGTATGAATTTTAGAGGAATTATGCTAAGGAGAAGATTGTTGAAGGTGTGCAGCGTGGCTGCTAGACATTCGGGCATGCAGATCAGTGGTATCACGAATAACTCAGGTGCCACTAGGCCTAGAAATGGCTGTCTAGTACTCCTATTGGGAATTAGGGAGTCTGAAAAACTGAATTTTATTGGAAGGAGCCGAAATAAAGGCGCCGGTTATTCCACTTCTGTCCAAACGCGGCGCCTTGCCTTTGTGTTTCTTTCCAGGTTGCGCATTAATATTGGCTCATTTTGCATTAGTAGATAATGGGGCCTACGGTGCAAATCCAAGGCCGCGTGCTAATCTATTACCAGTTTACTGCGCAACATGTCTCACCGGCACTTTGCAACCCCGTATCCATGCATATTCTGAATCACACTCTGTAATGGTAGCTCTTTTACTCGTGCGGTTTGAGTGGCATTCGAATCTGTAGAACGCATTTGCATCCATTTGAAGACCTGCTAGGAGCGTGCCAGTGTCCACAGTCTGCCAGCCCGGCCCCTCACGGTGCGTATGTACAGCACAACAATGAAAAATCAAATCTTATAGTAATTGACTTTTCGACGATAGCTGTTCCTGTAAGAACGAAGCAACTGACCCGGAGGCTTATTCCTGTTGAGCCTCTGCCGGGCCCCAGAAATAATCTAGTGAGAAACTAGGCAGTGCTGGATTCTGCGCTTCTTCCCATCAAAGAGTGGATTCAAGTTGGGAAAAAAACTAGGTTCCACTGCGAGGCAGAGACTTTTAGCCGCACACTGTATCAGGCTGTGCGGGGTAACGGTGGCTTCACCCCTCCCATCGTGAAAGCCTAGGAATAGTCCCTCCATAAAACAGAACGTCCATCAGCAACCAAGCCGTAGAGAGGAGAAATGGCTGAGACAAGGTACTACTAGGAACTGGCCTCTGTGGTAGAGCTTCCTACGTCGTAGTAGGTACAGCTGCGTCTTGCCGGCGAGGCTTGGTGAGAAGTAGCCTAGACTCAAGGCCTGTGCATGCCCGCATGTACCTATCGAGTTGTGCAAATGCTGTGGTGTCGCCTCTAGGACTACTTCTGCCCCTGCATGTCAACTTGACACATGCCCGAATCTGCTTTCTCGCTAGTTGTCGCCTGCTACCTCCGAATAATAAATGCCTGTGCGTGGTGTCTGTACCTCGCTCTCCGCACATATTCGGTTTAACTACCTGCACAATTGCTTTAAAAGACATGTCACGAAGCAACCGACTTTGGGTAGATCGCTTCAGCGCCAAACTAGGGCTCTCCCTTAGAATCCCTCTATCCAGCAGCAGCAGTTGCTACTAGAAACGTTCAAGTCCGTCGATCTCAAAAGTTAAACCACAAGGATTGCCGACTTCCCCTCCGCAAGACATGTGTCGAACCAGCAGCAAGGCGAATCAGCGCGGGTGCTGCATCGCCTTGCCTTTGGGGAGGCCATAGCTTTGGTATTATTTCCTGGCGATGTTTCCTTTTTCTGCTTTTTGTGATGATCCCTTTTGGCCTTTGCCGCTTAGCTCGCCTTGTGATTTCTGTTCTCATATGACTCTGGGAAAGACGAAGCCAGGGGATGACAAATAGCCGTCTCGTCTGTACAGCTCGGCGTCGTCTGCCACCGTGATATATGCGTAGGCGGCTGTTCCCCGTTTTGAACGTTGCTGCTCTTCCTCGCTGCTGTCAGACTCCCGAAAAATGCCAAAGTCGTCGGTCCGTTGTGTCACGAGACCCTCAAGCATTGCTTTGAGTTCATAGCGTCTCAGCGCCATGATCCGCACAGCTTGAGAAAGCAGCAGGTAGACCACTCCCACAAGTAGGTGGCCGCAAAAAACTCCGAAATTGTACCAACTTAGGCAAATACACACTGCCCACGTTCTGAAAACACCTGTCAACAGCAGTTCCATCCACATTGCGTCCAAAAGCCCCTCGCATACCCTGATGCCTTTCGTTGTGTCGGGACCAATGAGCAAAGCGTGGAACGCAAGAGGCGCTGCTGCTTTTCTGCACAGCGAAAAAACCACCATGTTGCTCAAAGAGACGAAGCGCGGTGCCGGAGAGGAGGAGCTGTCATTCTGCTGAGAGGAAGTTGTCGCTGTGTCTGGACAGAAAAGGGACAGATAGAGAGCACAGGTCGTTCAACAGCATTCCGCGTCCTCAAAGCCGAGAAGCATCTAGGGGTGGTGCAAGGTGTCGCATGCATCGTGTGCTGCACAATCTGTCGTAATCACTGCGCATGGATCGGGAGAGAGAGAGGGAGATATGGACGAATAGAGAGACAGATAGGGAGAGAGACAGATGGAGATAGATAGAGAGAGAGAAAGATGGAGATAGATAGATACAGAGAAAGATGGAGATAGACAGATACAGAGAAAGATGGAGATAGACACATGGAGAGAAAGATGGAGATAGATAGATTGAAAGATAGGGACAGATAGAAAGATGGAGAGAGACAGACAGAAAGAGAGAAAGATAGATAAAAAGAAAGATGGAGAGAGATAGAATGATAGATAGAAAGGTAGAGAGAGAGATGGAAGGAAATAGAAGGAGAAAAAAAGTGCTGCAGCTAGTAGGGGCACTATATATATCGCGGTTGAAGACGAACTTTTGACGAATTTGTCGGAGTGTAGGGTGTAGTATTGCTTCCCACAGAGGGAAAAGGGGAAGACCAAAAACATGGTGAGGAGGTTGTAGATGGGTTTAGCCAAGAAGCAAATTGCCAGCATGAGTCCAACGGTGCACTTGGGGAGGGAAGCCTTTGTCACAACGATCGAGCCGTTGGATAACAGGGCGCCGCCATCCAAGTCAAGGTATGCAAGTCCGAGCTGGCGATACAGCAGGAGTCTCGACAGCTGTTTCGTGCCGAAGCAGAAAGCCGAGAAGGCAGAATCCAAGATGGGAACGGTAAAGAGAGAGCTGACGAAGCAGACTGCCACGGATACAACCCAAACGACTCCCATGGTCCTGTCGCGTACATCCATCTGCTGGAAAGAAGAGACGGGGAAGTATTCGAAGGGAGGAGACCCCTTCACAATCGCGAAGGAGACGAATCCCACCAACACGAGCACCACGTGCAGCACATCCAAGAAGACGGCGGCAACGGCGAGACGCAGCTGCTGGCCATACGACAGATAGGGATTTCCATCGAGCACCGTCTTAAGCCCCCCAGACTTCCAGCTGAAGAGCAAGACAAGCAGCCTGAACAATACACGTCCAAACCCCACTCCTGAGATCGGAAGGCGTCGACTGGACTGGAGGTCCCGAACCAGTCGACGTTGACGGCGACTTAGACGCTGCTGTCTCTTCTGCGCTTGAACGGCAAGAAGCGGCTCTTGACGTTCACGGACCCCAAGGCTTTCCATAGACGCCGCTGAGGAGTACGGTATGAGGGTGCCGGCGCTGCTGCTTGGCAAATAAGAACCGATAAACTCGCGACTCCCCTGCAAAGACTCCCTCTCTCGATCCTTGTTGTTCTCCGCCCCATTGCCCCCCGCCCCCCCCGCGGAAAGCGGCGCCGCTGCCGCGTGTCTCTGCAGCAAGAAACTCCCTCGCTGTCGAAGGCGCTGAATGTTCTCTAGAACTCCCCGCCCTACAGAGGCAGCAGCGGTCGCTGCAGAGGAGGTCGGCGGCTGCTGCTGCTGCGGGGGCACCTGCTGTTTGCCGTCTCCCACTGAGGAAGGCATCGCCGATAGCTGCAGCAGCTGGTTCTGCTCGTCAGTTGGGCTTTCATACATGCTCCTCTGAGTTCCCTTTGCGCGCTCTCTCTCCGCCAGTCTGCACTGGTTGAGCTTTAGGGGCCGCACAAAAATCGTAAAGATATTCTTCAAAAAAAACCACAAAACCTTGTCCGGCGTCGTGAGCATCCAGTAGAGCCGCAGCGCGAGGTAGGGAAAATCCACCAACAACAACCCCACCAAAAACTCGTATTTCGCGGACACGAAGATGTCTGCCTGCCCCGAGGCACCCTCCAAGGACTGCTGCACGGGGAAGGCAAAGCCTAAGGTCATAACGCCTACCAACGTTAAGATTAGAGTCGCCATGCATACGTACTGCGCAGGGGAACCAGGATCTGAAACTTGCAGAAGTGCGTAGGTACCTGCCACGAAAGCCACATATATATATATATATATCTATATCTATATATGTGCGCCAGGATAGAAAGCCATGCCCTCTTTAGGCCCGTGCGAAGGCGCAGACATTTCGCACGAGAGCATTTTCATCGGTGGATCAGAAACTCGCGGTGACAGGAATTTGAAGGCAGAGCCGAGCAGACAGACGGGGAAGGTGGACCGGTGGAAGGACGGCTTAGAGCGGCGTCGACTCGTGGTGGCGATTCTCGCGCGAGGAGACTCACCTAGGGTATCATTGAACATAATGGCAATATCCAGGAAGTCCAAGGAGAGACTGAGCGCAAGATCGCCTTGCAGAGCAGCTTCAATAGACACAGACTTGGAGGCGGAGGAGCGGATTGAGGCGCGTGCTCGAGCCGTGAAGACAACGTACAACACCGGCAGCAAGAAAACTCCCAGATACGACAGCGAGTCATAGTTGTTCTCCTCTGAGGCAGAAGACACACGGCAGACAAGGAGCACTGGGGATCTTCGCCACGCACAGACAGGAAATCAGCGCGAGAGCACAGGCTTAAAAAACGAGAATAATAAGACAAAGTGGCGTCAGAAGAGGAACACCCCTGTGCGGGCTAAAAGCCTCTAATCGTGGAAGGAACAGGTTCTGCAAGATCTTGAAGTGCGCACAGAGAAGCGCAGAAGAGCAAGGCTTGACAGGTTGCATGAGGACTCTCGTGCTGCAAGCCGATAGAAAGAGCCTCTCCGTGAGAGGCGATCGCGGCATCGGGGAGGAGGCAGACACGAAAAACAACTACGAGGGAGAACAGAAAAAAGGCCACATTGAAGGCTTCTTACGGTCCACAGAATCCGACGAGAAAAGGCGAGATCCGATATGCCCGAAGACACCTTCATCGTTTTGCATATCCACAACCGGATACTCCCAGGGAGGCTGTTGGTACGTCGTTGTGTCTTTCCAGAAGGCGATTAAGCCCATCTTGGTGCCTTCAAACCCACAGGTTGACGCAGCAAGGCTCTAGGCAAAGAGCGCTGGGAAAGCCCCGTAGGCGACACAGACCAGCGCAGCGGAGTGAAGAATTTATGGCGATGCATGCATATATCGGCATTTTGAAGAGCACAGCAAGGTAGCCATCTAGCCATCCATCAGCTCACACGGCCTGCTGGGCAGCGGCTAAAGAGTGAAGCACGGTTCCTTTCCCCATATATATATATACACGACTTCAGAGGCGGGCTTATATATATATATATATATATATATATATATATATATATATATATATATATATATATATATATATATATGGGGGAAGAAACAGAATAAGATGTGTGATTTAGAGAGAGATTATGTGTGTCTTAGTGAGGGTAAATATATATACCATACTCTGTATAGCGCCTCTCACGGGGGAGATGTGTGGGGGGGGTATAACTCTCGGAGACAAGATAGATAGAGCACACACACCAGAACGAGACACAAAAGGCGAGAGCGTGTCCTCTCTTGTGCTGAAAAAAAAAATAATAAAAAAAGTTCAAAATGCACTAAAGACTACGTACCAGAGAGCGGGATTATTTTGTTGTTATGTTTTGAGCCGCTGAGATATTGT